CAGCTCCGGGGGGCGGGCGGGCTGGAGGGAAGAGCCCCCCCGCCCCGCCCCGCCCCGCTCCTCCCCGGGAGGGTTTCCGCGGGCTCTGCCTCTCCCGGGCGCGGGGCAGAGCGGATGCCCGGAGCGGGGCTGGTAGGATGGCAGAGGCGTCTCCTCGCCCGTCTCTCAGAGGCCATGTTGTGTCTGATTGTGACTATCCATCCGGGGTTTGCTGGCTTGGTGTTGCACATCTCCTTCCTGCCCTGCCGCCGAGCATCTGTGCCTGCTGCCAGCTGGGGTCTGTGTGGGTGCTGCCTTCGCGGGTCCTGATGCGGCTCTCGAAGCTGGGGCAGGGAGGCCTGGGATGGTGCACAAATGGCCTGTGCTGCTGCGGGGTGTGGGGGGATGTCTAGATGCCCCATGAAGGCATGGGCACCCTGGTTTAACATGGAGGTGCCAGCAGAAGGGGTCCAGTAAAGGAAGGAAAGTCCAACCTCTATCCTCTCCCCTCTTGTTCAGCTTCTCCATTTTTTTGAGGTGAAAGTCTCCCTCCCCTTTCCCATTTGCCTCAAGGACAGGCGTTCTCCCCTGTCAGGATAACAGTAAGGTGGCTGCTGCTGCCCGCCAGCTCTTCTGGAAGCCTCTTGGTTAAGCCCCAGCCATGCTGATTTGGTTGCCTGGAGGAGTCTGTGTGGCCTGATTGGTTATGTCCCTGTCAGTCACTGGTGGCTTGTGGAGAGTGTAGGAAGGAGGGTTGAGTCATTGCTGAGCTGCCGGCCTGATGCTGGCTGCTGCTGGTGTATCCAGAGTGATGTGTGATGTCTTTGTGCCGTGGTCCCACTGTGCGCTCTGTGGGAAGGGCAGCCCAGCAGTCGAGGGGGGCGGGGGGGTCACAAGCCGGGCACAGAAAGGGGCTATGGGGTAGGAAGAAGGGAGACTTTGTGGGGATTGTAGCACCTTGCAATGACATACTGCAGAGGTGAAATAGTTAGATACAGTAGTAGGTTGTCAGCATCTTGGATTTTATTTGGATTATAGTCTAGACCAACTCAGTAGTTGGAACAAATGTGTGGTTCTAATAGGGTGGCTTCAAATTGTGGCCAAGGAGAAAGGCAAGCAAGAACAGAGCTTCTCCTTGAGGTCTTTCTGAAACGTATCTTCTGCAGTGCACATTCCTGCATGCCCAATAAATGTCAGTAGACAGGAGCAAAAGTATTGTTACAGCCATTCCCCAATTGCTGTGCTTCACGCTGTCTGCAGCAGTCTCCAGTGCGGGAGTGCTGCTTGATTGCATGGCCTCAGTGGAATATAACTGCAATGTCTGGAGCTGGGAGTGTGTAGCAGTTATAAAACAGATTACCTCTAGCCCCATCTTTCTGGGCCACTAGTCAGAGTTGGGCCTTAATTTCTTGAGCTACACAGTTTTATAAGTATAGGTGAGTTGAAACGTTGTCCTGGTTCTTCTCCCTTTTCCCTAATTCAGGAGTTGCTGCCTAAGAAGGTACTACACTTGCTTGTTGTTCCTCTGTTCGTGAATGAGGCAGCAGCATTTTGGGTAGGGGGTTGTAGTGAATAATAGTGGTAGTAGGAGGAGTTTGTTCCAGTCTGGACTGGTCCAGTCTAGTTCTTTCCTTCCTGTCACTCTGAACAATGCTGCTGCTGCTGTGGCTTGCGACACTGCATTCTCTTCTCTTCTCCACCCCCGCCCCCTGGGTCTCCAGCTGTAGTGAGGGCGTGCTGTAGTGGTGCTCCCTCCCCACTCTGGCTCTGAAGAGAGCTGCTTCTCCCAAACGGCTCTGGTAGGCACAGACTGCTGGCTGCTTTCTTATCCCCACCCCAATGACAAGGTGGGGATTGCAATGAATTCTAAGGCTATGGAAAGGGGGCTAATATGGAGGCTAGGGCAGGATTCAGTGGTAACGTAGTAATGTAAATGTTTCTCCTCTGAGGGTCCCTGTCTATTTGAGTCTCTATATGAGCCATGCTGTGAAGCTGCAACTCTGATTTCCCCAACCTGTTCTGTGAAAGTAGCAAGCAACTTTGTGCTGTGGCTAGCTTTTTATTTGAGCGTTTCTTTTGAGGGCTTGGAACAAAGGTGAATGTCACAGTATGTTCTGTTGTATTGTTTTCATACCATATAATTCAAATTTCTTAGCTGAAAGTTAGGTGATTGCTACATTACAGGGGAATTTAGGTTTGTTGCTTTCTGGTTATTTAATGTTCCAATGTGAATATAAGCATGAGCTTTGATTTTAAAAACTTGTGTATGTTTAATGCTGCTAAAAGGTGAAGATGGATAGCTTTGGCAAAAGTCCTCTGTTCATCTGTGGGATGCAGAGCGGGACAAGCTTGCAGCCTCAACACGGGTCTGGAAGGAATCTAGGGTATATTGGGGCTGATTTTGGTTTCCATAGCCCGTGCAGTATTTTGGTGTCCCAGAGTTTGGAATTTAGTATAGACCTCTGGGTTGTAAAGTCTGGATTTTTAGCCATGTATATCTTGATTAAGAGTCTTGGTTTTCTTGGTTGAGGAGCTGAGGTATAGACAGTGGACTTTTTTTTTTTCTTCTTCTCTCCACTGAGGCCAAATCTACAACAATAGATTTTTGTCAGCATAGTTGTCAGGGGTGTAATCTCCAACACTGTTCTTCTGGCAGATCTCAATAATGTACACAGTAATATCAGTAAAAGCACAGTTTTCCTGGTATAGTTAGTTTCACTCGCATGCAGGGCAGGTTACTATGCTGATATAAAGTTCAGCATTGCCAACATAGCTGTGTCCACATTGGAACACTTGCTGGTAAACTATACTGGTATTCCTATACCAGTAAAATATTCCTAATACAGTTCTAGCCAAAGTTGTTTGAGTGTTAAAGACCAAGAAAAACTCTTGAATTCTTTGCAACTGAAACTTTTCTGTGTTGGTATAGAATAACTATGACCACTTTTTAAAGCCAGGCTTGCTGAAAATAGGAACAATTGAGCACATCAGTCTAGAAACTGTTTTGGGGCTGTTTCTTTGAAATCCAGACTGTCCAGATTTGATTAGGGAGGTGTAGGCAACAGCCCTATGGAACTGTGGGGCAACTTAGACTTTATCAGTGTCCTGCCACTGACTGGAAAATGCACATTTTCATCACAATTGGATTCTTTTAAAACAAATTTGTTACTTGCGTTAAAAGGTCACTGTGCTGTCTTCTACTTATGTACGGTTTAATATATAGAAAACAATTTCACATGTATTTAACTATTAATTCAAGATCATTGCAGGTGGAGAAGCGCATGGAATATTTTCTTTGAGGCTTAAAATCATTGTTGTAAGTAAAACTTCAGTCTATTAGTTGAAAGCACTGTTGTTAGTTATCACTGGAGGTAACTGTCCATTTTTGTTTCAGTTCCATTGTGCGCTCTTTCTTTTTTGGACATGTGAAAAAAGTGTTGTATTTGTTTGTATTGTGTTGCCTTTTACATACTGCAGTGAAGGCCATCCTTTCCATCTGAGCTCACTAAACATTTCTTAGAGGCTTATCTTGTTGTAAAAATGTGCAACAAATATAGAAATCTGTTCAGTTCTAGAACAGGATCAAGAAAGTTATATTTAAAATTATCCTTTTGCAAAGTTAAACAAGTATTATCTTTCCTACACATTAGCTTAAGAAATAATTTTGTTGAACTCTCCATTTAAGGGATGGAAAAAATGGAAGTTAACTGCACCTGCAAAGCATCTAGAATTAGTACCTCACCAACTTTTTTTTAACTATTATAAATCAGTCTTAATATTTGTACATGGATATTTCCAAGGAGGAGGTATATATTGACACACAAGCAGATAAGATTGCATTACAGCAGAGGCAGGCAATCTTTTTTGACTGTGGGATGGAATAACCCACCCTGCATCAGAGGAATGTGCTAGGACCCAGCTGCAGTTAGCACTTGTTTCCACATCAGTGTGGGGAGAGTGACTACACCTGGCACTTGTCCGTGCAGCACCATGGAG